AGCACTGAGAGAAACTGGAAGGACGCTATTTGCTGATTGAATAGACTAGCAGAGAAGCATCAATTATTTTTAGAATATAATCCATTCAGCATATGTCACACAGCTGTGATTCAAGTGCCATTGCAAGGTCATAATAAATATGTTAGTTAGCTGTTTATCTAAGGTCCCCAAGCTGTAATTGCTGTGTGTCTGTCTTGAGACTCTGGCTAGCACTTCGTTATCATAGGTGGCATCTAAGATAAGCCTCAGTGCCAGCAGTTGACTAAGATTTTTTCTAAAGTCTTCTTTCTCCCACATCTGTCTCATCTTTTGGTAGTAAACACAGTATGGTGCGGTTCTGCTGTATTTTTTGATATATTGCAAGAGCAGCAGGATGGCTCTTCATACTGCTTTCCCAGTTCTCTCTGGTTTCTTTGGACTACTGACTCACAGATGTTTCCACTTCTCTTGTCACATATGACACTTCTGAAAAGAGTTTTCACCACAGTTATCTAGTTTTAGTAAATTTGCTACACAGAAGTTTTGTAGAGCCAAAGGAGAATGGTACTGATCTGGAGCAGCAGATCTAAATATTGTCCCAGACAGTCACATCTTTTCAGAATGGAAGGGATTTTTTGTTGATGAATTTGTCAGGAAAATACACAACTTTATAAAATTTGGGGGGAGGGGGGGTATGCAAAGGAAGTGTTTTATGCCTTAGGGATTCATTCCTAACAGGTGGAGAAGCAGAACCACATCTCATGTTTTGCAAGATGCTTTTCTAAATGGTAATAAGTTTTATATCCCTCTATTTTCCTGAGAATGTCCAAGATTAAAGCTGGTTTATAATTTCCTGCACACAATTTATTGTTCTTTCTTCATTATTTTATCAGCTATTGTTCAGGCTCCCCAGGGAAGTGGTCACGGCACCAAGCCTGTCCAGAGTTCAAGGAGCATCTGGACGATGCTCTTAGTCATCTGGTTTAGTTTTAGGTAGTCCTGCAAGGAGCAGGGATTTGGACTTGATGATCTTATGGGTCCCTTCCAACTGGAGATATTCTATGATTCTGTGATTTTATTGAAAAAGCAGGCCTTTTAATGCATTGCTAAATTGCAGTACGTGGAAACAAAGAAAATATCCTATAATTCTGGCACAAGAATTAATGTGTTAGCTTTTAATTTTTACATAGTATGACCCTGTTGAAGGTCTACCAGTTCAATTGCAAACTGCTGTCTTGAACAACTGATTGACTTCAAATTCAGTAATAGAACACAAACAAGAAAATGTGTGTGTGTGCTTATAAGGCATATTTTGCCTAAGAGTATAACAAATAATTGAGTGGGTTTGTCCCCCCTTCATTCATCTGCATTGCTCATTAATGCCTGAATTGATAAGTTATTTGTCTTTTGTTTGAACTTTTGAATGTTAATGTTCTCCACAGCTGAGTAATTTTTTTAATATTTCTACATAATGAATGTTAATCTAAAGAAAATTAATGCAGTTCGGTATGGCATTGCCATACATCGTTTAGAGGTGCTGTAGTAATTGATTGTGATGAAGCTCATTTGTTTGTTTTTTCCTTCTCAATAAATTATTTGGAAATTTGTGGCTTGAAAAATAATCAGGCAACAGGGTACAAGATAGCATTTTTTTCAAATTTCTAGAATGGGTTGTAAGATGATTTGGATATCAGAGTCTTCTAGTTGATGAGTTGAAATCATATCATGGTATTTAAATTTTGTTGGTTTTTAAACACTGTTTATTAATAGCTGGCCTCATTTGCATTTACTTTTACAGAATCTGGTATTTGCAGTTTAAAATAATTTTTTGTAGTTCCTCTTGTGTTCGCTCCTTCCCTTCTTACTCTCCAGATAGTAACCTAGAACTCTCTCCCTCCCCTCCAGTGCACACCAGTTGGGGTGTGGGGGGAGCAGGGGAAAACTCCAAATCTCTGTCAATTGAGTTTTCAGCTGAGCATGCCAGAGGTACGGTTGTGCTTCTGTTTCTTTTGCTTCTTTCATACTATGGTGATCATTTGTACAAAGTCTTTAGACGACAATAAAAGGTAAATAAACAAAGATGCCATTCTTTTGTGTAAAAACGGAGCTGCTTTAATGAAACACTTTTTGAAACAGAAACATTCATCTCGGACTGATTAAAACTATACAAAATGCTGTGAGGCTTTTTGAACTCATTGCTCGTTGAGTCATAACTACAGCCTTTCCCTCAGTAATTAGTTCCCTTTATTTCACTACATTCCCACCTCTTGTGTTCTCTGTCATGAAAAAAAAAACGGCTTTTTCAACATAATTGCTGGACAATTTAATTAAAACTTAACTGGAACATTAAGAAAAAGCCAGCAATATTCAAGGTGTTGCTTTTACAACCATTCACCTGTACAGTCTCGCTTCTCTGTTCTGTTCCCTACTCTTATCATAAGTCATGTGAGTCATTTTCAAATTAGAATCAAATGTTTTACCAGGCTATATTTCTGCTCTAACCTTTCATATAACACATACACATTTTCAAGAAGTAAAAATAAAATGTTGTAAAAATAATCTGCTGTTGATAATATATCAATGCCACTACAGTAAAAATCTTGATAGTAAAATAACATATTCGGAATGCTGCATTGTAGTTAATCCTTTTCATAATCTTTATCAGTGCTGAATCTCAGGGAAAATAACAACTCATTTTGAGAAGGTTTTTTGTAAAGCTTTTCTTGCCATACTTATTGATATGAGAAAAAAAAAAAAAATCTTTGTACCATCTATTGTGGGAAGTTTGGCCAGATTTATGCTCAGACAGAAATCAAAGTGGACGGCCATTAATTTCAAAACACCTCATATGGGATATCTTATGGCAGGTCAAATATAAAATGTTTTTAAAACTAATTATGGCATACAATTCATATTACAGTTTGTTCATAAATATCAAAGAAAACATATTTTTACAAGGTATGTAAAGAAGGCAATCTGAGTTGGGTTAGTTTAGTTGAAGGTCTAATTACTATAAAACTGAAATAGAAACAGAACTATGTTGAGTTAAAAAGCAGAAAATATCTGTTTGCGGCAGAGTGCTATTCAAAAGACACCATTACATCAAAATGGATTTGGAAACAAATGCTACACTGTACATGTATTGAATATTAATTAGTCATGTGCTTGAATAAGACTTTGTATGGTTATTAAGCTCTTGTGGGCTTGTCTAGGAATTGTTTTGGTTTGACATGAGGATATAAGGTCTGTTTTTAACTCTTTCTGTAAATTAGTAACATAAATGCACAGCACTGACAGTAAATACACTCAATATTGTCTCTGCAATATCAATTCCTTTTTGGAAGAAATGTAGCCTTTTTATTTCATTTATGTAAGTAGCCATAACAAGTCTATGGTCCAAATTAGCATTAGGTAATTTTTTGTTTGTCTCTAGCAAAGCAGAAAATGAGCTAGGCTTTACATTTGGCAGCACAAATATATGGTGTTTTAATTTGGGATTGTAAATTAAACCAGCAAAACTGATGTACAGTAAATAAAAAGTGAAATATTGACTATTAAGGGACATATATTCCTCAAAGGAATAATGGTGTGCCTTCCTGTTGGCCTTGCACCAATTGCACTTCATTGGAATTGTATAAGTTTAGCCACAAAAAAAGTAAATAAGAGTATTCTCACAAAAGTGTTTTCAAACCTATTCTTTAAATATGGATTCATGCAATCGTCAAAATAAACATTAGAAACATGAACAGAACATGCCACAAAAATCATTTATACAGGCTTTTTTTGCAAGTATACATTATATATCCAATACAACATACCTTAGGGTGTGACAAGATACATGGGACATGCTGAATTTTATGTCCAAACTACTCCTTCATCAAATTGAATGGAATTAGAGATGCTTATGCACTTAAAGATGTGCATATCTTCTTTGCAAGTTTAAGTCCTAATGATTTTATAAGGACTCTGTAGCAAAAAGACTAAAGGAACTGTTTGGAAAACTGGACCCTCAAACCAATAGACAATAACAGCTCTGGTTCTTAATGAGCCCACAGGCAGGGAATGTCACACTGTGGTTAGCAGGAATAAGTGTTTGTGTTAAACCCTTAAATAGACCTGATCTAACCAAACGAGAACAGAACTGGCTAAATCTCTGCTTGCTGTTCTAAATTCTCATATGAGGAATACATGAGAGTGACTTCTAGGCAAAATTGGAACGAAGCGAAAGAAACTCAATGGAGAAAATTGGAGAGAGTAAAATATGTCAGAAATGGCAGCTATTACAGATTCATATCCTGCGTGATGGTTCTCATTCAGTTTCTAGAACACAAGCAGTAGGACAACTGTCTAAACTTTGGCATTTACTGAAATAACTTCTTAAGTTTTACCACTGTGAATTGAATTACTTTTGTAAACTTAAATATGTGTGAGATTAGTTACTAACTACAGTAATCAATTCATAAAAGTTAAGACACTAAAAAACTAGAAGGCAAAATATGTTGTAACACTTCTCTAGTATAAATTCATGAGTCACCAAATTCATTATGACAGACTATGATGGGTATTCATGAATGAAAAATCATTAATGTAAATTTAAACTATTAAATATGGTCAAATGTTTAAGAGATTTTTAGAAATCACTTGCAGTGTAAGTTATTCAATATCTATTGCATATATTTTTACATGAGTTTCTAAAGCCAAAGCTTTTAACAGTGCTGAAATCCAATGACCTAGTCACATAGTTAGAGAAGCAGTATCGAGTACTACAGCTGCTGTGATGATGGACATAGTTTCTGTAAATATAAGCAGTTTTAGCCTGTCGTTATTTGTGTTGATTCCATAAAATGCTGAAGAATTAGAACATCTGGCTTGTCTTTTGACAAGGTATAGCTAGTCCTAGGAATATTGAATTGGGTAAGAGGATTTTGATTATCAAGGCTGTTTAACTTAGTTATCAATGACAGTTACAACGCTGTAGATAAAGAAAGCTATGACATAAGTAACATACAAAATACAGAGCACAGATTGTTTTAATCACAGAAGTGTTCAACTTGTTTCAACAGGTAAGGAAATACAGGGATTTTTGAATTTTTTATAGCACATTGTTACAATACTTTACATATACACTGTACAATAATTCTTTTGTATCAGAAGACTTTCATACAGAAAAAAATAGTTCTATAAAACATTCCGTAGTTCATCAAAAAGATTTGGAATAAAACATGGGGCTCTCTTAATCTGTAGGTTAACAGAAATAGGGGGAAAAAAAATCTGGCAATTCTTTTGTTCTTGTACATTCATATTGGTAAAAGGGAAACTTGCTATGCCTTAGAGGACATAGAGGAGCATTCTCGGCTTGAGCCTCTCTGTGCAAAGCATAACTTTACAGAGTAGCTACCTCCAGGAGATTTGTTCCTCATCGTGCGAGAGTGCCAATTCCACAGACTTGTACTTTAGCTGTACAGGACAATTTGTTTTTGTTTCTAAGCAACAGATACATTAGACGATGGCAGTTCAAAGCTGTGAGCGTGCAATGTTTGATGGAATTAGACTCCAAGGCTTTTTAGGATGTGATCATTTTAAGGTTCGCTGATATCAATAAACTCTTTCTCTGGGGGAGGACCACCTCGGTACCAGCTGCAAGTGCCATCACTTCTCTTGATACAGGCATAGTGCTTGGCTTGGTGCCCGTATAGCTTTCTTTCTATGAGCCAGTCCGTCCAGAGGCACTCATTTGGTGTCGTGATTGAACAGGGCACCATGTAGCAGGTAGTAATCTAAAGGTGAAATAGTACATTAATTCAGTATATTGCCGGTTTCTTTAAAACGGTATTTATTCTCAAATAATATAAAATACATGGTGTATAGGAGAACAGTTCCCACCAGTGAAAGCTGCTAGTGCCTGGGAGGTAGGTTCCACTATTAGACAGTGTTTCGTTCTATACTTACTTTGCAGCCACAGCCCATTTGGTATCTCTGATTAAGACTCTTCTTTTGAGACAAGGATAAATCATCCCATGGCTCAATGTAGTTGCATAAATGGATGAGGACTTTACCATCACTTAAAATTTGGCCTACAGCATGGAAAATAAGAAAAATAAGGCAAGCAAATAAAACTGTTTCCTAAATGCTGAAATAAATCGCAAGAATACCTGAAGTTTTTAACTAATTGCACCAAATTAGTCCTGTTTCACACTTTTGTCAATGAATGTAATTATAACTGAGAGAACCATTCTGCTGATTGCATGCTGAATAAATGTAAAAGATTTAAGAAGGATATTTTTCAAAAGATGCTGATAATCTGCCAGCAAGGCATGGATGCAAATGCAGTAGTATTTCAGGACTCCAGAGAAAAATCTGTAATTACTTAAAACCCTAAATTTGCATACATGTAGGCATGTGTTGTCTCATTAAACATGTTTTCATTCCTGGGAAAATCAGTACTGTTGGTTTTAAACAAATTATAATGGCATATTTCCTATTTACTAATTACATAGTTACTGACCTTGGCTTCCTTCGAAACTGCTTTAAGATTGTTGGACGAAGGATGGAAAACATGTAAGATCACGGTATAATTACAGCTTTACACAATTTGTACATTTCATTGTGTTTGTGTTATTTAGTACATAAATATATTATTTTTTAACAAGGGCTGGCATATCTTCACAAAGTCAATCTAAGGAGTTACTTCTAGTTTTATAAGTACATTCATTTTGTTACATTTTACCTGTCAAAAGATACTGTTTTTTGTTGTTAGCTTCTAGTTTTACTCCACAGAGTGATGAATCAAAAGGGGTATAGACATACTGGACATCCTTGAGCTTTTCAAAACCTTTAAACATCTGAAAATTGTGAGAAACAGAAAGTCAGTAGTGGAAAACAAACATGAAAAAAAACAGTTGCAAACAACAGCCGAAAGACGTGCATGGTGCATCTCTTTAAAAAAGGCTCTAAAGTCTGAACTTATATGAGAAAATACCAACAATTAGACCCTGTCTCTACACTAAATGAAATGCGTCCATTATTTTTAGAAGGAAATTAAGTCTTCATTTTTTTAAATTACAGGTTTTTAAATGTGCTTTTTCAGTGCTTTTAATGGATCTTTAAAGCTTTCTCATCAATTCATGATTCTATTGGCATCTTCCATTTAAGGAATAATGCAGAGACAGCATTCATCTCAAACAAGGTGCTGCAGCATTGTAAGAGGCAAAAATGCCTCAATATATTAATATGGAAAATTTTATCTTGATCAGCGTGATGGTGTGTGTCTTCAAGAGTGTTATTCTTACATTCGGTCATTAAATCAAGCTGGTTTTCCCCATCCAGAATTTTGCCCAATGCGACCTTCTCAAATAACTGTTGGAAAATGGGATCCAGCTCTTCGAATTTATAGCCTGCAGCACCAAAAGGGGTAGGTTCAGGATCAAAGCCTGCGCAGGGTTCAGAGTGGCTGCTCCTTAACTAGCGTTTCCAACTATGAAAATAATTCTTAAATAAGCCATTAAAAGATCAAAACAAAATTTAGTTGTGTCCAAACGTGAGAAGGACCCATAAGATGGTAATCAGCCTCAGGATGCCTGTCATCACCTAATATGACATAAGTGAAGCCCCGACGCTTCGGGGGCCCCGTTTGGTGACATCATGCTGTGTGTTGACAGCTGTGGACAATCGCGAGGCTCACAGCTCCCAAGGGCAGGCTCTCCCAGTTGCAGCTGGCGTCACTGGAAAATGTGTTCTTGTTACTCAAGTTCTCTCAGGAGATTTAAATAGTACAGGGCACTAGAAAATACACTGTAATATGTTGATTTTTCTGAAGCCTTGTTTATGGAATAAAAGAAGCCAAAAGTTGGTGTCATTGGGCTTCTGATCCAAAAATATTAGAAGTGAATTTGAAATACTTAGTAGAAAAAACAAACACATCAAACCAAAACCCAAACCGGTATCCTGTACAAAGCAGCAGTGAAAATAATAGAAAACATACAGAAAGATGATGAAAATGTGTCCTCTTTTATTAGATAAAAGTAGTCTGGTATGTCAGCCCAATATCAGAGTTCTCAGAAAGATGCCCACGTGAGGCAGCAGGAGCAGGCTCCACGTGTGTTGCGGAGAATCTGCCTGATTGCTAACCCAGCCCTTTGATTTCTGCCGTCTTTGAAACGCGAATCCCCTGCTTCTGCTATGCTTAAATCTGCCTTATTCATGGTGCAGGTGCCAGATGCAGATTTCCAGTATGTCGTTACTATGTGAACTAGGCAAGTATCCTCTGATTGGAGTTCTCTCCACATTCAGAAACCTTTGGTTGGGCTACAGTGTATAGTGGGGTACAACTTTTCTTTTAATATCTCATCGCTTGATCTAAATCAACTTAAGAGACATTATGCAAACAACACAAATTGATTCAGCTATTAAAAAAAAGATAAATATCCATGGCAACTTATAGTGGAGGTCTAGTTAATATTTATATGAATTTGGTGTTTGTTTTCTTGGGGTTTTTTTTGAAATTACAGTCTGACCTATCTTGGGTTTTGACCTAGATATCTGTTAAAGCATTTCTTAAGATTATAATCTTCTGTTTAACTCAGTAAATCATATTTGATCTCCTCGATCATATCCTCTCATCTCCTAAAAGTGTGGATACTTTCCCTGTAAAGGGATAAGATGCCTTGATTCGATTCTGCATTATGGTATGGTCCATTTACATTTGAGGTTCTGGTAGCACTTTATTGAGGTAGGAAAATAGGGTGAGGAACTGGGAGAATAGAGAGATGTGAGCCTGACACTGAAGTCTATATTGAAAATGTCCCTGTCCTTCTGAGGTATATCACTGACACCAGTACACGGTTGTTGCTTTAAGATTTTACAATACTTCTTTTTAAGACTATCTGTATTACTTTCAGTGTCTCAGGTGTGTTCCTGTTATAATAATTACATTCTTCTACCTTCTTTATTCTCTAAGCCTTTCCAACTATATCATGGCTTATTTTCTTAGCTTTATATAGCGATTAATATCTAGCTTTAAAACTGCATGCATCATTGTGAAGTGTAGATATCGTTGTGTTTATTAGCTTAAATAACTCCTCATATTCCCAGTGTGAGGGGACCCCACCCTCTTGTAAAAGAAGTCTGATTCTTTCAGTGGGTTTCCATCCATGCAGCTTGTGTGGAAAATACTTAGCAATTTTGTTTATACTAGTTTAATTTGGCAAAATGTGTTGATTTCACATATGACAGTAATATCTTGGGCCTTACTTCACTACTCTGATAATACAGGACAAAATGTCACAAAAGCTAATGGCACTGTTTTAATATACAGCTGGTTCCTCGGAGTAGGTATGATGACCAAGTCAATAACAATAATATTATGAAGACAAATATTCAATTGCATAGAAATCACATATTTTCTTCCCTCTTTAGTATAATGCTGTAAATATTGCAATAAAAGAAAATAACAGTAATTGAAAAAATGTATGGCTTCTTAACATGGCAACCTGTATGTATAAAATGAATAAACCTCATCATTATTTTTTTAATTCCTGAAAATGAATAACAAAATCATATTTAATATTTCTCTCCAAAAATACCAATGCTTTAATGCTAAGCCTAATGCACTGGATTTAAAATAACAGAAATACAGTTTTTGTAACAGGACTAGCATAAACCAGCCACACTAACATTACATGTCAAACAGCCCAGAGAGTAATATAAAAGAGAAACAGCAGCATTTTGCTGAATTTACAGTTGCAGTAAAGTGTAACCTCTATAGGGTCTGTGTTTCTTTTCCAAGAGGGGAGAAGAATTGCTGAGGGAAGTGTGAACACGTGTGTGGCTTAAAAAGTATTCACCAAAACTAATACTGAGTTGATAATCATGTTTTAGCTTGATAGATCTTACAGCTCAAAAGACATGATTACCAAGTCTATTCTTACTTTCTATGTTATATAAAGCAAATTCTTAGCATATCCCCCCAATCCTGTGAAGGTGTATGCACAGGGTTAGCCAGAAACACGTGATCAGTGCCATCGGACATTAAAAGGACTGTTCGGTTTATCCTCACTGCAGGTCATCAAATTTACAATATGAGAAATCGGTCTGTAAGCACTCAAGAAAGACTCTTAACAGTGAAAAGAGAATATTCTACTATTTGACATACACTGTTGATTTAGGTTCTTTTAAATGTTATCATTCTGTGTCGTTAGGCAGTCTATGAATTGTCCCGCTCCATGGAGGTGGCCAAATCTGACTGATTGTATACAACATTATATTATTTTAATTGATTATTTTACACTTACCAAATGCTTACAAGCATGAGCTATTTAAAATTCCTCACTCTATCTTTACTTTTTTTAACTTGATGCAGACTTTACAGTGTTATCCATAACACTTTCCTGTTGAACTTCTGTTGACTTAAAAGTGAATATTTCTCAGTGATTTTTCAGTATACCCTGTCCTGTTTAATTTTTACGTGTATGCTACCTCTGAATGATGTGCTTAGAATATAACAGGTTACATCACTCTGTCAGTTCCTGTATGATTTACCAGGCACAGGCAAAGTTGCCTTCATGGATTTGTTTCGGTGCCACACTGAGTTTACTAGCCATCCCACAAAAGATTTGCAGTTTACAGAAGCTCCTGTTTGCTCGCCTGCTCTGTGTTGTGGAGATTTCAAACAAAAATCCTTTTATTGTTTTTGTTAGAGATGCTGAGCAGGGCGCGGGGTCCCAACACAGCTGAGCAGCCTGCGTGCGTGGGTGGAAGCCTCAGCTCCTACCTCTTCTTAACTCTCTTCTGGCCAGAGGCAAGAATTTGAAGGGTGGGACTATTATGACCCATTTGTCTTTAGTCTAAGCTTGTATGTAATGATGTAGAGGATCTTTTATTAGAAAATAAAACTCTCTGGTTTGTCCAGTCCTAGCTGACTTGCCTTCTGAAGCTTAGTGGAATTAGAGATCTCTTACTGATGCCTGAGTTTTGATTAGGCCTCCACTTACAAAAATTTGGCAGAAGCTCTAAAGCAGCTCCAATATATGAATGTATTTCAGAGATTCCGGTGTGCTGTTACTGAAGAACATGATTATAGACTGAAAATAACAACATGGACTAGACTTCTTTTTTTTTGCTGAAGTATAAGATAATTTGCTTTTCTACAAGGTTACTGAAGTGTTGCAGGGGAGCAACAGGATATTGAAGTGCTAATGGAAGGAAAGAGAATTGCTCTGGTACTTATATACTTATTTCTGTAAAGAAACATTTGAAAATATCCTTAATAGTTTATGAAGACAGAAAGTGGCAGATGGTGAAGAGTTTTGGGGTTTGTTTTAGCAAGGTAAAAAGAATTGGCTTGTTGAAATTGCTATAAAACCTTAACAGCAGTCAGGTGTGATAACTATCTTTGTGAATATTTTGAGATATTGTTGTTTACCATGCATTTTTCTTAATAAAGCTCCTGTGAGGTGATCTACTGATACAATTTGAAGGATTAAAATTTTTTTGGAAAGCACGTAGCCATCCATAATGATCTACTTAAGTGTTCCCAGTAAATGTAATAACACAAATCAATACAAATAGTACAAAATAATAGTCTATGAAAAATGAGAGATAAAACCACCTAGAAGACTTAAAACAAACCAAACAAATGAAACCCCTCACCAATGCACACTAACACATTTTAATTGAAAGACACTATCTCTCTTTTGCGTATTCCAGAAACAGGTAGATCATGACCTTTTTTCCATCAGTGAGAGACTGATGGTGAGTTGAATGCGATCAAGATATTTCTTCTTAAAGTACAGTAATGAATATGTCTCCTTATTGGAGCTGAACAAATAATGGGAAAATCCTGTGAGATTCTGAGTGACTGTATTTTTGGGTGCTCCCACTCTGTGTTTGCTTTCCTAGCAACATTCATACAAATAGATTTTTTGTTTATATGAATATCAGGGAAGGACTCCTGTTTCTGCAAATATCCCTATTCACTTATGAGCAAAGGTCCTTGCTATTTCAGCTGGAAATGCTTTCCTCTGGTTATAAAGTTTGCATCATCCAGCCAGAGATTTGCAGTATCATAATGCAACATAGGTGATCAAATATCCATCAGAAACAGCATATGTGTATTGAACACCATTCATAGACTGAAGTAGGTTTTCATAAAGTCCTCATAAAGCAATTGCGAATAACAGAAATTTTTGTCAAAATATAGTTATTTAGCAACCAACTCATTAATGTCAGAACAGCTTTCTTTTCTTTCTCTTTTCTCTTTTCTCTTTTCTTTTCTTTTCTTTTCTTTTCTTTTCTTTTCTTTTCCCCCTTTTTTAGTCCCTACTTTGAATTATTCCGTGTAGTTTACCTGGGTCTAACCACGGACACAGCTGGAGCCTTTTCCAGCTTAAAGCACCTGGGGCAAAATTGTAGTCATGTACATAGGTTATCACATTGAACTTCAAAATAGCTAAGTGATTCCATGTACCTTTATTTGTTTGATTTCATACCGGATCATTTTGTGGGTATCAAGAGGATCATCACTGGCAGGAACCACCTTTTCACTGGATATTTTTGCTCGAATCACTGTAATAGAGAAAAAGATTTTAATGCAAATAAGCATATATCTCATTTTACAAGCAATAGCAAAAATTATATTGATAGATTTTAGCATTGTTTTTACACTTTAGCTAGAAGCAGATTTTAAGGCTTGTTACTATAAGAACACTAGACTAAGTTAACTCCTGAAAATAAAAATAAGTTGTCTGTCTGTGATATAAATCTGAATTTCCATGAATCTGGAAATCCAGATTAAGTTACTGCTCGGTTTTGACAAAAACTGTCCATCAAAATCTTTGAAAAACTTGAATCCCATAAAATTTTATAAAACACCCATCATTATAATCAATGAGCAAATGAAAGGGACACTTCTGTTGATGACAGAAGAATTGTTGATCAATTAATTCAGCTTGACGTTGACACTCTGAAAGATGGTGCCAGACAAGATTAAAGCATCCGTTTCATGCATGAAATCAGAAGACGAGAACAGTCTTTCATTCACTTTTCTGAGACTATAACTTTTTAGCATTTTTCTTAATGTAGCACGTCATTAGTTGTGTTAACCTGTATAAATTAATTACTCCCTCTTTTGATACTTTTTATTTACTTCCTATTCTTTAAACAAGGAAAGTATGAGATTTTATGAAAGAAGAAATGGTTTATTTTCCTGTCTGTTTGAGGCACCTTGCTTGTATATGCTGTTTAAAATATACCAGGACTATTAGGCACAGAGAGTAACAAGATTCTAAGAATGTGGCCAAAATTTCTCTGGGACTTCTATCCACCAAAAGTACTGAGAGAGTGCTGGTTTTGCTCAGTTCTGGATGGCTGCTATCACAGCTCCTCTGCAGATGTAGTACTTGTTAGAACAAACAATCTGCATCTGCATGGAGAGATACTGGCAAAGGCCGGAGCAATCAACAGTCGAACGCCACTTCAACTGTTAAGTCCAAGTCGCAACTGGGCAGAGGTGGATCTGTGCAAGGACATCTGCATCTGTAGGTACGATAGAGACCAGAAAATAATCTTCAGTATGAGGGCAACTCTGAGAGGCCTTCTTTTTTTATTTTGTTTTTATTTTTCATGATGAAAGGAACCATTCTATCAAATTAGTGTGAAACAGGCATGACGTTTCATAGAATCAGCTAGGTTAGAAGGAGCCTCTGGAGGTCTAGTCCAACCTCTGCTCAACTTGAATCAGGACACTCAGGGCCGTCCCCAGCTGAGTTTTGAGTTATCTCCGAGGATGGAGATTCTGCAGCCTCCCTTGGCCCCTGTTCCAGGGTTTGACCACTCTTACAGTGAAATCCTCATACTTCTCGTTCACTGAAAAAAATATCAAGATGATGCAGAGGAAAATCTTTCGGCATCAAAATCAGGCTTTTCCCCCAAAAGCATTTCTTTGATAGATTGACCTCTAAACATCATATCTAAAGAAAAATAATAAGAAACCCAGATTGTAATTTTCCTTACAGCCAAATAGAGGTCAGTCCCATCTAATAATGGGCAATTCTCATTTCCTCACTTATTAGCAGAGCAAACTAAATGTAATAATCAGCACGATGCAGATGCCTACAGCTTCAAAGCTTGAGTCCTCTATCTTTTAGCACAATGCTCCCTCCTCCCAAGCCATTTAAACTCATTTAAAGAACTCCTTTAAAGGAGCATTCTAGACTTATGGGTTGGATTGAAAGGAAAGAGTTCTTTTAAGTATGAACAGCAAATTCCTCATTTCAAATGGTAAGTGGCAGCATCTCTTTAATCATCTGCAGATGTGTTATGTTCCCACAAATTAACAGTACTCCTTAAGTGCTTTGATCTAATTCCAGATAAAAAGTATTGTGGATTGTGTGTACTATACTGCTGGAAAGGTCAAATTAGAATCATGTTGTTTTGTTTTGCATTGCTTTCCACTGCATCATTACTTCCTAAAAAAAGGTTTTCTCATTAAAGAGTTCATTCAATATAGAAGGTAAGGGGTGAGACAACAGTTGGGAGCTAGCTCCATTATTTTCTTAATACCATAACATGGTTTGTATGCAGGAAATCTTTTCCTGCCTACCTAATGTAGACATTTGTAGGATAATTAAAACTACTTTTCCCCTTGCGTTTAATATTGAAATGTTACTCATTTTCATATTTTTTATTAAATTCTGCTTACTAGTGTCTGAGAGGAACATTACGGATGATCAATGATAGCTCAAAGGGTCTCCATGGAGTTATGCAAGGCTGAAAGTATAACATTTGGGGGTTTGTCATTAAGAGAACTTTTTCTGGGTGTGTAGAAGAAAATGAAAACTATTTTTATGTTGTGTGTGTTTAATTCATTTGTTTGTTTAAGAGAAAGCTTCCAGATGGTGAAGGAAGACCAAATTGAGATCTTTTTTTTTTTTAACGACAAGAAAGTTTTATTGTTACAGGATGTCTAAATCTTTAGTTATTTGGGTTTTACTTTTCTATTCTCCTGAAATCAGACTCAAATGCACACGGATCTTTTGGGGCCTGTTAATCCTTCTTGGTTTTCTTTTTTCTGTGCTTTAATATTTTTTTTGCAATCAGTGTCGTCTAGCTGTCTCCTAAAACCTCTTATTCATGTGGTTGCTTCTGTTTTTAACCACAAGCACTTCCTGATTGAGCATTCCTGGGCCTGGCCATCTCCCTCTCTTCACTCGTGGTTATAAGTTAGGATTCCTCCTAGTCTGCACTTCTTTTCAAGAAATGGTTTCAAGTATACCATGGCTGGCTTGGCTTCTCCTCTGTTTGACTGAGAACAACCTCTGGCTGTTTAGTGCAATAATGTCATTTTAGCTGTCAGAAGGTTATTGGTTACTTATGAGGAATTTACATATATGAAATACATATGCGTAGCCTTCATATTCTAATGCCAGTGATTCAGTCTGCCTCAAATTCGTTCTGCATTAAAAATATATGTGGTTTTTCAAAAGCCGTTCACTCTAATATTTCAGTAGTAGGATGTAGCATTTCTGCAGAACTCATATTTTGTAACTCGTGGTGCTTTTATAAAATTTAACCTTCTATCCCTACTTTGCAGCTGAAGGTTGTCTCAGGTGACTGAGCTGCAAGGAAGTTAACGTGATCACAGCCATGCAGGGGGCAGGTGGAACAGGGCCTCAGAACAGAAATCGTACTGGCAGTTCGTGGCTCCCACGCTTATGCCGAGTCCATAACGTCAAGTTGCTGCCTCTGTGAGCAGCTGCTGCTTTGGTGACTAGTGTCACAGCGTATTGCAGTTATTGGAGGACAATGTTCTAGTTAGTAAGTTGGCTTGGCTATTGGGTATTCATTATTGGAAGTGTGTTAAGAATATTTTGATTCCTTCTTTCCTGAATAATAATAAACATCTCCCAACCATTTCTACGTCCACAAAACTGGGTAAAGGACAGAACTGCCTGATTATAACATCGGATATATTTGTGTTTATAGAGTCAGGAGAAAAGTGTCGGGGTTTATGCAATACAAATGTGTTTATATACGATAAGGGTAGAAAGTTAGGCATTAACTGCATCTTTCCGAAACCTGGGTGATTTCTCTCTGAAATTAGCTACACTAATTATTTACCTGTAAATAAACTGTACCATCACCTTGTTTATTAGAGGTTTTAATGTTCATGAGGAACTACTTCTACTAGGGGCTTGTTTTAAAAGAAGTTCACTGCCATTAGATTAATTTTACCACACTACGGAGACATATGCAATGAAATACGAGCATCTTTTTCACAGAAGAGGAGACACAAAGAATCGAGCAGCACACTGAAGGCCCCATACCAAGTCAGAGATATCGATGGAGTCAGAATAAAGTACATCCTTGCGCTTTGTCCACTGAAATTCTGATGTTCCCTAGAAGTAGTACCTTTTTAGACTCTGGAGTTATTTCTAAGGCATTAACAAAGGGAAAACTGTTTAGTGAAGAATTACTGTCGTTGTTACAAGTTAATATTATTAAATAATTTAGCCTTTATTATACTATTTTATATAATATTATTATACTTACACACCTATTGATCACAGAACTATTATTTGAAGAGAGGCAACTTTACTCAACAAAATTAATCGACTTTATTACTCCTTCAAAAAGGAAAACAAATTGGAGTTCACTCTCCAGATTAACTTTATTATCCTTAAGAAATAAGATGTAAGGGAGAAGGTAAAAACTGATGAATAAATGAGATCTTTTTTCCCCAGTATCTGTTAAATATCAGTAACTATATAATGAAAAATACTTACATAGGAAAATATTTAAGATATTACTGGACATAAGAACAAGAAATCATAATTGCTTATGTGCACTGTTATTTTAAATATGTAAACCTAAAAATAAACAAAATATAAGATTAAAAATATTCCTAGAAAGAGTGCAGATTTTAAAGATGGGCAGATAGGGAGCCAGACACTTGGAGCTTTGAAAATCTCTTTTGTCATCTGTTTGGACTCTAAAAACACTCAAGCTACACCCTGAACAAAGTTGTCAAGTGTGTTCAGGTCACAGTACTACGAGATATACAGACTACTATTGAACTGTTGTTTTACTTAAGTTGGGTTTAGTTCAGTATTTTTTTTTCTGAGGTTTTTTTTTCCTATCAGAAGAAAATATTTCACTGTCTTCTAGAATTAGAAGAGATTTATAGATTATTATCACGATGGATGTATCCAGTTTGAAATACTAGCTGCACTGGAGTTTTCATTGTATCAGTGATAAACTATGTAATACCTACGATTTGTAAATGAATATATTTTTGGTTAGGGAGTTGCAGCTTAAAGCAGAATTCCTTAGTTAATGAGCTCCAGTCCTTCAGCAATAGGTATATTAATGAATAGAAGGGCAAGGTTGTCTAGACTGGGATGCCTTAGCTGCTTTTTGTAAAAATAAGGGCTAAATCCTGTCCCTTAGCCTTGCAATAGATTCTGAGGTCCAGGAACAAAGAAGTGTGGTTCTGCATGCAGAGGAGGCCGTAGTACCGGGGCTGTGCCAGCCGTTTGTATTCCTGGTTTGCCCTGGGATTTATCTCC